AACCGTTGCCCTAGACCAAGCTAGGCTGTGCCGAATTTATTTATATACAGCAGGAGTGTCAAACTGGCGGCCCACGGGCCAGCCGCGCCCATCCCATTGCCGGCAATGGCAAAACTGTCCTGATACGTTGCACAACGTCATGTGACATCATGAGTTTGACATGTCTGATATAGAGCTTCCTCTCTAGACCATCCCTTTTGCCTCTTCTGTTATTAGAATGCCATCATGAGAAAGGCAAATGCTAGATTAAGATGCTTGATCTGAAAGTAGATTTTCTTTATTTTCTTTTGGTCATTAAGTCATGAATTAATGCTTGAGTTTATATGGACACAATGTAGACAAAATTGCAAGATTAAGTTTATTTGAAAAGCTTTTACATTCCATTTATTTTTTAATCTGCAGTTATATTTTATAAAATGATTTAATTATTAGCTATTTATTTATATAGCAAAAAGGAGTGAGTGCTCCTGAGTAACTGTCAAATATTTCTGTGACTAGTTATGTCTTTTAAAGAGGCTTTTGACAGCACAAGTGTTTTAAAAAGAAAGATTTTATTTATTTATTTAGTTGTTAGTTTTATTTGTCTCTCATCTCATTTCGAAAAGACACTGGGTGGCTTACAGCTTTAAGATGCTCAAATCATAGTTCAAAAAAATCTTTGCCTAAAGTGTTAATTTACTTGTCAGATATAACATGGAAAAAACCTAGACTTTTAAGTCATGGAATTGTAAGTGGAGACTGTTGCTTTATCACCTTTGAACTTTAGCCTAATATAGGCCTGACACATGCTTTCCATGTGGGCTGAGTTTCTCAGTATCTGCTGTGACAACTATGAAAAACAAGATACTCCTTATATAGAAGCAAAAACTTCAACAAAGATATTCTGCTTTTTTCCCCAAATAATTCACATTTGAAATATGAGAGCCTTTCCATTTACTGAGAATATAGGAAGGAAAGCAAATTATTTGATTTGGGTGAGAAATTGCTGTAAATTAAATTAAAAACATGTAAATAGATTAAAATAGATTGTTGCCTGAATTGTATTAATTTTGTATATATTATTGAATGGATAATTTAATTCTGTGTTATGAGCCTTAAAACTTACAGAAATGTGTGTGGATACAATATTCTGTTGCACCGGGATGGCAGCATTTTCAAGTGGCAGGCACTATTGCACAATTTCATTTAAAAATAATATTCAAAGTTGAGCACTCTCTATGAAGGCATAGTCAAATCCTATAAGAACTCAAAAAATACATGTTACAATTTTAAAAACCAAGTCCTTGAGTGCCATCTAGTGGTTTTGTAAATGCAGCAGTGCCTATAGGTGCTGTATTGTTGGCCCCTTTTCCTAGGAAGGTAATTGAATGGAGAGTAACCTACAGTATTTAACTACTAACACTGGCTGAAGATTACCTGCTAAAATATAGACTATTGTTTCTGGATTACCGTAATTAAATCTGATAAAAGTAATAAAAGTCTGGTTTGATTATAGCAGGAGTCTCTTTACATCTCTGCAGTCAAGTTTTTTAATTTGCATACATTAATTGTAAAGACTTTCAGTTGTGTGGGTAGTCCTCAGCTTACAGCCATTTGTTTAGCGACTGTTTGAAGTTACGAAGGCATTGACAAAAATGACTTATGAACATTTCTCACACAACCATTGCAGCATCCCCATTGTCACGTGATCAAAATTTGGATGCTTGGCAACTGGCATGTATTTATGATGGTTGCAGTGTCCAGGGACATGTGATCACCTTTTGCGACCTTCTAACTAGAAAAGTCAATAGGGAAGCCAGACTCATTTATTACTAACTTAATAACGGCAATGATTCAATTAACAACTATGACCAAAAAAAAAAAAGTCATAAAAGGGCAAAACTCTTGTCAAGTATGTTTTGGATAAACAGATGTGTACTGTTTATATGAAGGTGTATAATACCAAGAGACAATTTTCTTGTCTGTAAAATCAACACTAATGTATTCCTCAATTCATCATATAATAGCAAGGTATCTCCATAGTGGAGGTATATGTCTGTGCAATAATATGATATAAATACTGACACAGACAAGCTAGTAAATATGTGTTCTACTTGTATGATTTAACTTGACTTGCATGTGAGCAGCTGTCATCCTTAACAATTCCAGTGCATTTTTCTGTAGTTGTGCATATTGTTAATGTGGTTTAAGAAGCAGTTTTGTATTTCATCTTTATCTTAGTGCTTAAGAGTAAAAACAAATACGTTGTAATACATTTGTCTGATATTTATTATTCCAGTGTGTTAGACTGTAGTTAATACCTTTCTCAGACAATTATGTTGCTGTCAAATGATTATGGGAGTTTTAATCTAATAAATCATAAATGGATGGCGGAAAAATTAGCTAAGCTTATGATGTGATAATTCTTTAGAACCTTTGGAAGAAAAAAAAGATAAAGCAAGCAAATTTCTGTAACCCTTAATATGCATGTATTTAAAAAATGACATCTTTTTAAACTTATTCTCAAGCCCAGAATTCCTTAGGCCATTATTAATTTTAATAGTTTCATTTTTTTTTATTTTAAGGAAAAGTTAAACCCTGTTGCTGACAGTAATAATAGTGTGTAGTTTACAAATGTGGCTTACTATCATTTGGGCTAATATATATGAACATAATATTTACATTAATTTAGTGGTTTGAATGTGTTTGCATTCTTCTACTTGGTTGAAGAGTACTTGATCCTGCGGAAGCCCCCCCTGTCTGGAGAGAGTTGACACTGTTCTCACCAATTTCCTCTGCAGTCCTCCAAAATCAGCTTAGGGGGACTGGGAGTCTCTCCAGAACAGTATGGAATGTGGCACAGAGAAAAGGGTAATTGATGAAAATTGCTTCCCTATCTCTTCTGCTAGCTGAGTTCTCCATTGATTCAAAGAGTTGTCTGCAAACAGAAGGATTCCTTCTGTTCCTGGAAGGGATTGTTGGTTATAGTTCACAGCTGTGACTTAATCCCCCCTCCTGAGATTTAAAGGAGGTGAGGGTCCTTCCAAGACCTTTTGTGCAGATGCTAAAAAGGTTTCCCTAAACAGTCTTCATGACATCTGTTGAAAGTAAAAAAGGAACGGAGGTGCTTCATTAGATATTTTTTAGAATTATTTCTTCTTAAGGCTATTAGTTTAGAGGCATTTTTTTCCAAGAGAGTATCTGATATTCAGATGGCTACTGAGAAGAATCTTAAAGAATAACACATTTACTATGGCATAAGTTTTCATAACCCATAGTCCACTCCATCAAAAAAAATGGTGCACTATTATCCTGGACAAAAAATATAGTACTCCTCTGTTGGACTGCAATACCATATATTGATGAAAGCCTATGCCATAATATATTTGTCAATCACCATAATATTCTGTTTCTGCTCCTTTTCCTCTGTCTCTTTCTTTAACAGCATGCAGAGGAAAGCTATTGTGATGGGAAAGAGTTGTGTGGATTATTTTCCAAATAATTTTTTAAAAGGCAACTTTTGTGAATTTTAATTCAGAATTAATAGTAAAAGGAGGAAAATCTGAAGAACAGAATGATTCGCCCTGTCCTGCTTTAAATCATGCTTTGCTTTCTTTCTCCTCCCCCCTTTAAATCTTTTGTCATCTGGAATACATTTTAGGAAAACCAGACATGTATTACTGTTTGCAATGTGGACCTCATTTGTCCTATTCTGTAATACTGTTTAAATAGCTTTCACAGCTGTCTCTGAAGCCCTTGATAAAGATGTGGGACAAAGAAGGGAAAAGCAGTGGAGAAGGAAAGAAAAAAGGAGATTGACTCAGGTATTCTGAGAAAAAAAAAGAGAACTACTTGAACATTCTAAAAAGTAGTTATAACTATGTGGGTCCATGGGGAAAAACTCAACATCTAAAGCTGCATGATCCCTTTATTAGAGTAACCGGATTTTATTTCTATTCCCTTCTTGTGCCTGACAGAATGCAGAAATAAAGAAATATCAGTGTTTTTATCCACAGATCTGGGGAATAATTTGGCTTGTCTGTAAAATGAACCATTTCTTAATGGTTGGAAGGGTTTTACACCCTCAAAATGTACAAATTTTGTGCAAAATGTACAAAACCATAAATTTTCAGAATCAATTTTCTCAGTCTATGCAAAGCATCCTCCAGGTTCCATAAGAAGCAATTGTAGATATCATTGAGCTTTGGTAAAAATCAGTGCTTTTTTTCTAAAAAAAAAAAAAAAAAAGGTGCCGGAACTCACACATGTCATACAACCCACCACGCCTACTCTACAAGGTTCCATCCAAAAAAGGTGCCGGAACTCCGTTCTGGGCCTTCTATGAGGAAAAAAAAGCCCTGGTAAAAATAAACAAATCAAGCCCAAATGGTAAGATGTTGCATACATCCCAGTGTTTATGTCTTTGCTGACAAAACTGCAGCAGGTTGTTGAAAGAGAATGAGTACAATGTACAAAATAAATACAAAACAAGAGATAATATTTGATAGGGAATGACAGCCAGGGAAGCTGCAAGTTTTGAACTATATAATGTATCAAATCTCTGAACTTTTGTATTCTAAAAACAGTGCCATGATATTATATGTAAAAAAAAAGGTGTCAGAACTCATACACGTTATACAACCCGCCTTGCCTACCCTACAAGGTTCCATCCAAAAAAGGTGCCGGAACTCCGTTCTGGGCCTTCTATGAGAAAAAAAGCCCTGGTAAAAATAAACAAATCAAGCCCAAATGGTAAGATGTTGCATACGTATAAGTCCTTAATAACTCAGTAGTAGTGTTTTTGTAAAGCATTATACAATTATTTCCATTCTGTTCTTATATTTCTTACTTTGTCTCACACATGCTTCAAGATTGGTTTGGTGCTGGGATGAGTATTGCCCTACACATTCATTGGTCTCTAAAGTATAGGTCTAGTTGCAAATTTTTTCAAGTTAGTGGTTCTTTAGCATGCTGTTAATGTATTAGGTATCTAGATTAAAGAGCTGTTTAACTCTCTACAGGCCAGCACAGATGCAGGAACGGCAGGAGCCCTAACTCCTCAACATGTCCGTGCTCACTCCTCTCCAGCTTTGTTGGGAACAGTTTCTCCAGGTGCACTTACTCCATCTGGTGTAGTTCCTGGAGGTACACCCTCTCAGCATCTCCGTCAATCATCTTTTGAAATCCCTGATGATGTGCCCCTACCACCAGGTTGGGAGATGGCAAAGACACCTTCTGGCCAGAGATATTTTCTGAAGTAAGTAAAAGTATGAAAGATGGGGCGGGGGAAATGATGGTGCTGGCAGTTCGTGGAGCAGCGTTTGATTGAATCCTTACCTTTTGCCTAATCTGTTCATCCAAGATGTATTCCTGTTCAATAGTATGAATAATGTTGAAAATTATATTACCTGAAAAAGTTGTGCTGAAGTAACTTATGTTTAAATGATTTGTGTTTAAAAGCCTAGATCAGGGGTGTCAAACTCAATTTCATTGAGGGCCGCATCAGCATTGCGATTACCCTCAGGGGGGGCTGGGGGTGTGTGGCCAGGGTGGGTACGGCCTACTGGATGGGCATGGATGGAGTGGGTGTTGCCTACTGGGTGGGCAGGGCCAGCTCTACATCGGTCGCGTCAAGGGTGCCTGTGGGGGCCTGGGCAGGAGTGGGACAGATCTGAGGGTCTCTGGCAGAAGGGGGTGGGACCGGGCAAGCACCAAGGCATGGTCCATTTCTTCATTCCTCACAAAGGGTGACACCTCCCCAGCATGCACCCAAGGGACGGGGCCGACACAGCAGGGGCTGGTTCCTAGCTGTTTCTAGACGGCCTTGTGGAGCTAAGACTGAATGTGTTTCAGCATAGATGGCCACCACAAAATTGTACATTGGCTCCCGGCCGGCCAGGGCCAAGGCAGCGGGGGGCGTTCCCTCACTGTTTCCAGGATGGCTTCGTGGGCCACATGAAACCACTTCGCGGGCCGCATCCGGCCCCCGGGCCTTGTGTTTGACATGTCTGGCCTAGATGGTTTGTTACCTGGGCACTTGAAGGGGCCATCTTTCTGTTCAGCTTTTGGCTTGAAGGTACGCCACCATAAATATAATTTTATTTATAGGCTTAAGTAGGAATGAAATTATTAAAATGCATCTTAGAAAGTATGAATTGGTTGTGGTGGGTATGTATGAAACTAGGAATCTATAGGTAGGAATCCATTTTCATTTCAAATTCATTTGATTATAGTTGCATGTTATATGGATGGTGAATTGTGAATGAAAGAATCAGAAGAGAGTTTGGAACTTTCTGGGTGAATGTGATTCAGGAGAGAGAAGAATACTCTGCTAGGTGACAGAAAATAGACTTACTCATTACGAGCTAGATGAGCAAAATCTCATAAGATGACCGAAGTATACTGTAAAAACATCTTGGACTCTTTCAAGACTGATTCCTGAGAAAATTGACAGCCAACTGAGAATTAGGTACTTGTCTGATGTGAGGCCAGAGAAATTACTGTGGCATAAGTGGGGGTGAATATGTCCTTGGCAGAGGGGATGATATGTCTTGATTATGCTCCCTCATAAGACAGCCATTTCTTGACCTCCGTCTGGATATACCAGCTATTCTCCAAATTATTATATCTTATTAAGGTGATTGAAAAGGGTCCTGGATGAGATGGATTTTCCTGTCTAGCCTTTCAAAGTTGGGCTTGGAAACGACATTGTCATTATGGCACCCTTGGAGAAGTGGTAGCTTACTACTTCTTGTCTTACTCAACCTCAGTGCCATTGATCATTGTATTCCTTTGCGTTATCTGCAGAGGGTGGGAATTAGAGACATTATTCTGAGCGAGAGCCTTGCAAGAGATTGGCAAGTTGCACTTGGAGAATTACATTTTCAGTAGCAGCTTTTCATTTTAGGACAGTATGCTCTTTGAGATCATGTAGCTCCTCCCCCTTAGTTTGGGCAGGGCGGAGTTTGGTATGAAAGTGCTGAAGATTCCCCTTTCTATTGGGAAAATTGGACTGTAAGTCCATAATTAAACAGTTATAATTTGCAGAAAATTCTGAATTGCTTTAAATTTTGTATATTGTAAACTATTTAGAGTTGCTTTAGTATCATACTGATCTTGTTAAATAAATAAGTGAATGAAGTGAGTGATTGAGTGAGAGTGAGTAAATGAATAAATGAATGAGAGGATATGAGACAGTAACACAAGATGGTATAGACCAGGGGTCCCCAACCTGTGGACCATGGCCTACTACTGGGCTGTGGGTGTTGGCCACTGGGCCGTGTGAGTGGCTGGCCAGTACATGCACGTTTGCCCCCCACTCATGCTACCGTCGTGGCATCGCCCGGGCGCTAGCATCGCCATGAGCTCACCCCCCACTTGTGCTAGCGTTGCGGATGTCGTGATAGCACTAGTGAAGCTGCAAGTGACGTGTGGGTGCCAGCATCACTGCAAGTGCACACTCCCCCCACCTGTAGCATCGTAGCATCACACAGGTCCTATCATTGCTGCTAGCGCATATTCCCCCCACTCATGCTAGCATCGTGGCATCACGCAAGTGCTATCATCACCGCAAGTGCACACTTCCCCAACTTGCACTAGCATCACAGCATTGCACGAGCACTAGCACTAGCATCGCCTGAGCATTACACGGGTGCTCGTGGCCCTGTTTGCGTTGCGTGCGCAATACAACCTGCTCCTGCGTGTGCGGGTAAAGACACCTCCACCCCACTGCCCCGGGTCTCCAACCCAGAAAGGTTGAGGACCCTTGGTATAGACAGTTATTGGGCAGTTTGGAGACCCAAGGATTATGGAGAACAATAATTCTTGGGTAAGAATAAAAGATGATCCTTTGTTTCAAAGACATGGTTTAACATGGGTGCATTTATATGGCAGATGAATTACTATAAATCTAACTTCATGACTGCTTTACTGTTTATGATAAAAAATTGAGCACATAAGTGCAGGGTATAAGAGTGATGAGAGGCTTCAAATGTAATTCAGACCATTTCTTGATAATGAAAAGTTGATATAGGAGGGATATGGAAGAGGAGGAAAGTAGAAAAGAAGAAACAAAAAGATTTGAGAGTACAATGTCTACAGGAAAAATAAGTCTTGTCAGGTGCAAGGAATCAGCAACCAAGGTTGTTCAAATGAATATAAGTTTATGCTATCCCTAAACAAGAATCTGAACTACTAACAGTCAAGGCAAATTAGCGGTAGATAAGAGTCATCGGAATTCAAGGAGGGCTGGACTTAGATCACTTTACCCCTCCCCTCCCTTGGGCTCAGTCTGGTCATCTACCATGCTACCTCTTACCATCCTCCTAGTATTAGTCCTGTGTATTAGAAGATAAATTATTCCTCCACAGAATGAGTGGAAAATGGATATTTTTTTAAAAAAAAAAAGATCTAAAAGTCACTTAGAACATGTTAAAAGTCAATAATTTACAAATGTATAGAAATATACAGCAAAAAGATGCTTGATGGAATGAAAAGGGTGCTTGATGGAATTACAAAATGAAAAAACTCTGTGGATGGAAAAACAGATCTAAGACTGTAATTATTGAAAAATGAGGATTCATTCAGCGAAGGTTGCCAAGAACGTTGTCATAGAGAGCAAGGAATTGTTAAGATTGGTCAGCTTCTTTGCATTATTTCCGTTATATTTGACACCTTTCTTGCTATAATAAGTTTTCACATACATGCCAGTACACTTAGCCAAGTGATAACGTGGGCTAGCAGAGATAGATAATGTATAGTTCTGGTTTACTTTTATTCTGCATATATTCCTAAAATTGCAGGAAGTTGTCCATAAAATGGTGCCCAGTTGACCTTGTTGTGTGCAAGGAAGCACTTCGGTAGATTAGTAATTACCTTCCTTATATTAACAAGGGTATTTGTGTTGTTTAAGTCATATCATAGTGTTTGATTTGTGTGTCCTGGGCTGAAATAAACACATAGAAATATTTTTGGTAACTGCCTCATTGTTTCTTCCTTTCTCCAGGAGTTATTGGCAGACCTTATTCTCTTTCACTTTCCAGTTCTGAGACAAAATGACTGAGCCAGGCTCTTCCATAGTGAGCTTCATAGCTGATTGGTATCTTGAGGCTTGTTATCCCTACTCCTAATTCAATTCTATCCAATGCATATATTGTGTCTTTGTAGGCTTGTATTGTATTCATTCCCTAGGCCAGGGGTAGGCAACCTTGGCTCTTTTATGACTCGTGGACTTCAACTCCCAGAATTCCTGAGCCAGCCATGCTGAGGGGAAAGGGAGAGGTTTCCAAGCTGAGCCATGCTGGTTCAGGAATTCTGGGAGATGAAGTCCACGAGTCATAAAAGAGCCAAGATTGCTTACCCCTGCCCTAGGCTCAACGCTTTACTTTAAAAAAAAACTGTTCACTTGTAACATTTAAAAGAGAAATGTAGCCAGTATGAATTGTGATACTGAACAGCCTTTTGAGAACATTTTCTGCTGGTTTAAACTGTTTGCATTAACTGCTAATATGGCTAATTACAGATAAACTCTTCAGCCTGAACTAGAAACAATTTCGGGCTGTAAGAAAGTTTAGTGGAACAAATAAACAATATAGGCCTGTTCAATTTATTGTACTTGGTGATAGGTCACACAGTTGAATAGGACATGCTTTACTTGCAGAAGAATCAGGGCATTGGCACCTCCAGTTAATAAGATTAGGTAATAGGTAATGGAAAATAGCTGTACTTAAGTCCTGGGTAAAGAATAACGGAGCAGATAAAATGCTTCATAATATACATCCATTATATAGCTAAATAATAGGTCAAACCCAAACTATACTGCGACTATTAAAAATCCATGATTCTAGAGACAACACAGTTTGGTGGATTTGAAGGCCAGCTTAGACAAAATTGTGAAAGATATTTCTGAATGAATTCTAAGCAATTATGAACAAAATAAAAAGAAATTCTGAAAGTCTTTTCTTGATAATTTGAGGTGGAGACTTCTACGTTTCTGAGCAATTCAGTCTTAGGAGTTTGCCATAGCTATTACCTATGTTTATCCATGTTTCTTGGATATAGTTTTGTTGGTGGGTTCCTGAACATCTTAGGACAAAAAGTTTAAAATTTCTGAATTATCTAGACTATAGACTCTTTTGTGTTAAAATACATTCTTGGGAAAATCCAGAACAGTGTTTGCAACACCAATCATAATATAAGTAGTCATACTGTATTGTTCACTGCTTACAAACATATACAACTCCAAATCCAAAAGCTAAT